CCCCCTCACCCTTGCACTCACTTTTGTATACACGTACTTTGTTTGGCAATTATTTGTAACCCATATGGACATCATTTCTAACATGACATTGATTCTTATAATGGACTGAAGCTGAAAATACTTGGCAATGCTTTATTTTAAGTGTTTGACCCAGTTTCTTTGTAAAAAAAAACCTTTTTGATGTCGCAGAGTACAAAAGACGATGGTCGGAACTTATCCTCTCTGCCTAACGCTGAAGGGTGGCCTCACTTTCTCATCCCTGGCCTTGAACCTGGGAAACAGTACATGCTCTATGTATGTTGATTTACAAGATTCACTTTTTTCTTTTGTTTTCAAATTTATTTTGTATCTTCTTACTTCTTTCAATGGTATGAAATTCCTTTTCTTTCAAAGTTATTGAAGCGAACGTGAATATATATGTATAAGACTCTTAAAACCAGTGACTAACACTTTGAACAGATAGACCAGGAAAGGGTTGTGCTGCTAGCGCAGTTGGTGTCATGCTGGACTATGGAGCAGATAGCCTTGGTTTGAATCACAAATGGTGCCTTATGAACTTTGGTTGTATTGGGGAGTTTTAACGGCTCTCCACCATAGGGAGCTAAGTACAGTCCTATCAGAGATGGAAAATGAATTAGGAAATCCTACCTTTTGAATACCATTACAGTTTTGAAAGAGTTATAAAACCTAAACAGTTTTGCAATTTTAGACCTGAAAAAGGTAGCCTACTAAAAATGCAGTGCAAACTTCCTCAAAGCTTGACTTTTTTTTAAAAATACTGATAGGTTCATTAGGCTTTGGTAGAGTTGAGATAGCTTCAAAGGCCTTTTTGATATATGCCATTTGTTCATGAAAAATCTGATTAACACAATTGTTAAAATATGGCATGATATGTTACCATTTCCTTCAAAACTAGGGAAGATTTTTTACTTCTTTTTGTCTTTCACAGCTGAAGCAGTTGTGGAGATTTGTGTTTTATTTTTTCTATATGTAAATGTTGTAGTCCCAAACAAGTTTTCACCAAAGAAAGAAATCTGTCTCAAAAAAGTTTTATTTTAAATTTTCATTTGGTAAAATATTTCTCATGCTTCTCTTTCCCTTCAGATATGGCCAAAAAACAAAGATGGACAAAGGATGCAACATTACATAATGACTAATCCTTTCAAACTGAGTAAGTCTTTTTTAACATAATCAAGGTTCAATTTAGCTAGGTATTTTACCCTATGGTATATTGTATTCCTCATTTGCTGTATGTTTCTCTGAACAGATTTTGTTTAAACTACAGTCAATTTCTGTTCTGAGTCATGCTTCGCAAAGGGACTTTTGCATACAACAAAAAGAATTCTTTTACAAAATGTGCATTATAAACCAAAGTATTCTTATGAAATAAAGTGAATGATAAAATTGCTGTTTCAATTAAGGTCATAAGCTGTTTAGCATCAGAATGAGAGAAATCGCAGAACATGAATTTCTCATAGCTTATTGTGACTTCAGCAGTGCATTGTGAATCAATGAATCTTTTTAGCCTTTTTGTTGATAAAAGTCTGTGGTCTTACTAGTCGCTTACGATATGATTAGGCAACCAGTATTCCTTTGAGACCTGATAATTAAAGTTAAATCTATTTACATTGATCTCATATTGATGTTTTTCGTGATTAATCTTGTACCTTATTAATGGAGACCCACCACAGTTGGGATAAACTTTGAATTGGTGTACTTTTTGCATAGGGATTTAACATTAAACATTTTTTTGTGGGTTTTTTTTAAGATATTTTGTTAAGTTGAGAGTGTTATGGTATTGTGTAAGTGGAACACTTAGCCTCTGGGTTGTCTTCATAGGGGATAGCAAACGTGAACGAGAATTGTATTCATGAATTAAGTGACATAACAACAGTGGATTATTTGACTACCGACTCAGCTGCTTTTGTGGAGAGATATATATATATATAAGAAACTTCGAGTAAACAAAACGATTTGATCACTGTACATCTATTAACTTTCCTATTTCTTGAAACTTTAACGCTAAGGAAAGCTGAACATGTCATTTTATGGTACTAGATTTATAGAGGAAAGCCAGAGAGGTGATGAACCCTTTTCTTAAATATATAACAACAACAACAATAGCAACAGTAGGCCTGCAGTACAAGCAGCAACAATGAAAGCGACATTAACAACAGCAGCAACAGACTATAAGAAGTGGGTGGTTGGCGGGTGCTCTGGTGTGGTTTGCTTCTTCTTTCCTGTCAAACATCTATCGTCCTTATCTCCCCTTCTTTTTTTATGTTTGTTACTCTCTTGTAACAGCTCTAATCTTCTGGCGCTCATATGACCTTATGCAGTTGCGAGCGCCGTAAAACTTCTACTAAAACTAAAAAGACTGTAAGAATCCTTTGTGAGCCCATGCCATCATACAGACAGTAGCGGATTTTTGATACAGTATTTAGTATGGCTGTTGTGATGACGTGTGAGAAAGAACTACTTTTGTCTGTCAGTTCACAGCTGGAAGTGGGGTCTATGTCAGAAGCTTCATTTTACGAGTTATTTGAGTCAAAATTCTGCACTTTAAGCACAGTTAATAATGTTGGGTGCAATACAGGAGACCTTGGATCGAATTCTTGATGAAAACTTTTTAAAATTTTCATTTGTTTGGGGAGATTTTATATATCCCCTTCCCCTTTTCTGCCTTCCATTTCATTCTATCATGTTTCAAATAGACTTGAAATCAGCAATCCAACCTTTTGAATTAACTCTGTGTGGACAATATAATCTTATCTTTCCTAAAATGTGTGCTGAAAAAAAATATAAGTAGTGCATAATAGGACTTGCCATAAAAAATGGAGTCATTTTGCCATTGTCATAATGTACACAAACACAATAATTTCCTAAACTCTATCAGGAGCTTGTACTTGCTGTTGTTCCTCAGGCGCAAAGGAAAGCAAAATACCCGCCCCCCAAAGTGGCACAGGAAATACACCCGTCATCATCGGTTGCCTTGTGACTGCTGTGGGCTTAGTGGTCGTCATAACATGTGTGCTGATCAAGGTGTGTCGAGGCCCATGTGCTGGCCATCTGGCCTTCATGGACTATTTCACCAGCAGTAACAACAACTCCAGTCAACGACCCCGTGGTCAGTATTATTATATGGAGCGTTCTTGTCTTTTTCATCTGCTGTCCTTGTACTTTAAAACCTCTTCTGCATGTATACATGGAGCCTGGAATGGCAAAGTTTTGCTATCTGACAAGCTGGACTGCCACTGTATAGCACCTGGCTAAAAAAATGTTGTCAAACATTACAAGTTCGGGTTCAACGAGGGCGGTATAACTTTTTTTTTCTGTCGGGTCATTCAATCTTTCTGTGCAATGTCTACAACTTGAAATGAGCTACATGTAAAAGAGAACATGTTACACCTGTACAAATACCTTGGAAAGGTACAAATTAGTTTCATTATGGACTTCATATTTACTTGTAAATGTATGGGAGAGTCTGGGGTAGTGCATTTAATTTAGTGATAAGAAGTGCTGCACTGACTGGACACACTTATAGGAGGTGATAGTATCACCAAGAACATTGCACAGACAAAATGTTAGAATCAAACATTAATTTTCTAATTTGGTTTTTAATGTAAGTAGACACAGTCGACACAGTTAAGATTTTTCTAGGAGGCAGGCTTCGACCCTACCTGTCAGGACCAACCCATGCTGAGAGGGATGCTACATCCCAGCAGAAAAATAGATATATACTTGATAAAAATTCTACCCACTTGGGAATAGAACTCAGGTCTTCTGTGTATGATGATGACGCCCCTAACTGCCACAGCACACACGCTGGTATAAAAGATTTTAGAGTTATGAAATAACTGAAATTCTCATTTCATGTCTGCCAAAAACGGTATAAAATAGATGTAGCCAATTAAACCAGTTGGAACAGTCAAAAGCTGACAATTTGTTTACATATACTCATTTAAACTTCTTGAAGGAATGGTTTAACTTTCACTTATGTCTGCATCCCAGTAATCAATATGATGGTCAGATTAGAACAAAGACCGTGGCTTTAATGAAAGTGCAGTAAAAGTTCGGCATTCTTCACCAATAATCTTGAAAAAGATAGATAGATACCTGTATGCCAGCTTTTGCAAGCTAAATGTCTTCCTGAGTGCCATTTGAACATTTAGAAAACTATTTCCTCTAAAGAATTGAGATGGTGTATAATAATGTTAAAGACCATCCTATGATTCTCTCACTTAACCATTTTATTTTTGTAAGATGTGTAATTGTGCTGATATGTAAAAAGTGAGGCAGCGTGGTGGAATCAGGCACTCGTCAATTTTTGGGCATGAAGAGTTATCGGTGTCATCTTAATTCTTGTTCACTTGTCTTTATTTAAATGAAAAAAATATCCATTTATCTTGAATACAAGTCGAGATATTTGCGAATGAAGGAGGTGGGGGTCACCTGTTTTCAGAAGAAAAATTAGTGAGAAAATAGCCGTCAAAGATTCGTTATTTCCTTAGCTTAAGAGTCCGTGGTAACTGAAAATTTACATTTTTTGTTCCTTTAATCAACATTTTTGAGAAAAATCCAAACAGAAATGAGTTCTTGAAAGGGCATGAAAGGTGTTGAGCCAAAAAACAAAAATTTGATAATAATTCACAAACCTGCAGAAAAATGCAAGTTTCTTCACTTTGATTATTTTGACGAGAGCCTGATTCCACCACCCTGCCTCACATATACTTTATATCTTGTGTTACAAAAGCTAATATTATCATTTTTTATTTTCTTCTATAAATATCAGCAAGTCTTATCTTATGTTCACTTTATTCATTATCCTTTTCTTTCCCAGCTCTGGTCATTTTCTACAAGGAAAGTGAGAACTTCCTCAAAGCTGTGGAGAATCACTTGATTTTCTTGCAGCATTATGTGGATGTTGTGTCTATCCATGAGCAGCATGGCGGGCTGTGTAGGTGCTGTCCAATAGCCCCCAAGCACACTTGGATTGACCGGGAAATCAAAGACAGGATTATAGTAATCTACATGTCGCCGTGTATACGAGAACTCATGGGGACAACCGATCTGTCACAGGTGCCAGGCGCAGCAAAAGATCATGATGACGTGTGCCTTTACGCTTTACAACGTTTACGAACAAGTGTCTTACAAAGTACTGTGGCTTTGATACGTCTTGTCACATTTGACTGTTTTGATGTGACAGACTCACAAGTGACCATAACGGATTTCACCGTTCCTGGTACAACAGTGAACTTACCTGTTCCGCTTGAAGTAGCAAAGCCTGGATCCGACGGTAGTTGGAAGCTGACCAATATTGACCAATTGTTACTTGAACTGCGTCGGTATAATGATTTCCCAGATTCCAACGTAAGCTCTCTGGACAACTGGCGAGTGTGGAAGGAAGTTCGAGAAGCAGAGAAATTTATCTCATTGTGTGGAAAAGGAACTGGCAGTCAGTTCACGCGTGTGGATGACATGAATGGGATGAACGATGATGTCCCTTTGAGCCAGTTTATATCTCAAGATAATCTGGACTCAGACAGTGTGGCTTTTGATTGTTTAGATACAAGTCAGAGTGTGAATGTGTTCAGCGATGATATTCCCCTTGGTCGGTATGACTCCAAGGAGCACGTTGAGTCTGCCAGTGTTTGTGTAGATAGTGATGATGTCAGTGAAGATGAAAACACAGTGGGCCTGACCTTCTCGTCAAAGGCTTATGAGCCTCAGTACGGACAACTATACGTGGAACCGCCTCGACTTCCTCAGAGGCCAGTTTTCCCCCCAGCTATCAACTGTTACAACAGTGCCAGTACAGACTCCTTTTACTCCGATTTGAACAAAGTCAACCTCACCTCGGGCTGGGGGGAGCCCCCATTCAGAAAAGATGTTTGAGCGACTATCAGATTTTTTCCCCTTCATCCTTCATGACTATTGATGTGCGCCCTCTACATTCTCTCCTTCACACATCTGCTCCACGAATCCCCGGTGACTTTCACGGAACTGGCTTCACGTTAACTTATACCTCAATGTCTCCTGATTTGTATTCCTCATGTTCTAACCCTTCCACTGCTATCCCAAGACTTTTCATATATACTTAAGCATCAACAAAGGGTGCTGATGTGTTTCAAGAAAGCTTTCCCAATTTTATTCTAGCTTGGATCAAAGTAAGAGTCAGGACACAAAATATACAGTCTTGAATATAAATTTGAAGATAGTCCGCTAATTTCCTGACTCTGAAAAAGTTTGTGCATGTTTCAGAATGGCTCCCTCGTTCCTTTTCTATAACTTATATTTAATATGTTACTTGACGTGGTAGAATCTGGCGCTCGTCAGTTTTTGGACATGTGGAGTTAATGGTATCATCATAAAGCTTGTTCACTTGTCTTGCTTTCGATGACAAAAATACCCATCTACCTTGAACAGAAGTCGAGATATTTGTGATTGAAGGAGAGGGGGTTGCCTGGTTTCAGAAGTAAAATTAGAGAGAAAATGGCTGCCAAACTCTGGTGACTTCCATAGCTTGAGAGTACTTGGAAAGTGAAAATTTACATTTACATTGTATTATGCCTTTATTCTACAATTGTCAGTAAAATCAACAAGGAAATGTGTTTTAAAATGGATATTAAAGGTGTTGAGCCAAAAAACAAAAATTCAACAAAAATGGCCAATCCAGCTAAACATTGCTTGTTTCTTCAATTTCATTTTTTTTTTTTGACAAGTGCCTGATTTCACCACGATGCCTCACATATTTAGCGTTGTATCTCACCAACAGATCAGATCAGATGAACAATAACAAATGAGGCCTGTAGTTCTTGGCAAAAATTGGTTTGTCTTTCCCCTTCGAAGCCCTTGGATATAGATTATGAATACTGAACATAAAGAAGTAAAACAAATACTAAGTGTTAATTTATTTTAAAGTTATAGGTGACAGGAAAGTGTTCTTAATAGATCTTTCCTCTTCTTCCCCTCTGTGTCTGGTATTTCTGTTCATTGTCTTGTTTTTCTCCAGCTTTGAATGACTGTTCATTGTGTTGTTGTGCTTCTGATTGACGCAAACAAATCAGTTGTTGTAGCTCTAGTTATTGTTTCATTCAGACTTTGCATTTATAAACAAAATGATTGCCTTAGTGTACCAAAGTTTGTTTCATAATGATGATGACAGTGCCACAAAAGGAAATAGTGGTGGGGAATGTTATGTTATTGTAATGAAATGCTACATAGTGATGATGCCATAAAGCAACACTAGCGTTGTTAGCTGATTGTCAAGTTATATGATTTAACAGTGATACTGACATAAAGTTTTATGGTGTCTCTGTAAAGTGAAAAGATAATCATTATAAATTGTATGTTGTCAAGTAAAGTTATAGGGTGACCACATCAAACTATATGGTAGTCTTATTTTAATAATATACTTTATTAATACGATGTGAGGAAGACCGATAGTTGAAAACAGTGGGCCTGCAGTATCTGTAATTTCCACTCATTCTCAGACACTACTGGCCTTAGATCAAAGTTACTTCATGTGAAAGTATGACCCGTGTTTTTCCTTGGAGTCTTATCTTCATTTTCTTCTGTTGAAACGTAATTTTTCTAAATTCTCTTTGTTGACTTTGGTGGCCTCACGATTATGTCGTCAGACTTGTGGAAAGGTGCCTTACTCGGATTATTCTCTCTTCACCCAGATGTTATTAGGTGTATAAGTGCCTGTCATTGTGGGGAGTTTTATTGAGTGCCACAGGAACGTGGGTAAGCTTTTGTACAGCAGGATTTATAAGATTTTTTTGGTAGGAGTGTTTCTTATTTTGTACTTAACTCAATTAGCATCTGTGGTGTAATAGTTAGGCTATTCACCTTGCATGCATGAGAATTGAGTTCTCTTCCCACATGGGAACACATTTCCTTCTGAGATGCATTTCATTCAGTCTAGGTTCACCTGCCAACAGTGTCACATCAGCCTGTCTCCTAAATGACCTGACTGCAATGATATGGACACAAAAGAGTTACAAGAAAGTATAGATTTCATCAGGTGGTATGAGATTGTGATGAAAAGCTACATAATGATGATCCCCTAAAGTAACACTTTTGATAGCTGTATGTCAAGTTATTTATTATTTATGATTTAGCAGTGGTACTGACGTAAAGTTTTATGGTGTCACAGTAAATTTTAGCGTGTAATAGTTAGGCTATTCACCTTGCACGTGCTGCTCAAATCACATAATTTATGCCGGAATCTGTAACATACTCCGCAAGCGTACAGTGGGCCCACTGTGTGTTCGAAATGCATCATTAATCTCTGCAGCAGAGCGACTGAATGAAAGACAGAAGATAGACGGCATTGTGGGCATTTTAAAAACTTATTCGGAGCTTATGTGTCTGAGGGCATTTCAACCCTGTTTATTTCAAGGGAGTATGTGTTCTTTTTTGTGGGGGGTATTCGTTTGTTTTTTTATTTTTGGTTGTTGTTTTTTTTGTTACAAAGACTGATATTACAAGACAGATCGCTCTGTTTTGACAAGTGAGGATTAGTGGAAGAGGTAAGGCGACTTTTCTCACTTCCCATGTTCGTAAATACAGTATTAAAAGAGACTTATCTTCATTACCCAGTTGCCTTCCTTTGTTGACAAACTTTAGCCATGCCATCACACTTCAATTGTTAAAACAACCAAAGAAGTACAACAGATAAAAATGTGCTCTTTGGATGTATTCTCCCTGAAAACATCCAGCATAATATCAAGCAAGTTCATCATATTGCATGTGAAACAGGGGTAGGCAATTTATTCATTGCCTTCTGAGGTCAGATGGCATGTGATTAAGAGTGGAAGACAAACCCATAAAAACATACATTCAATATTTTATTTGTCCTGAAAGTACATATCTAATTACATATTTTCTTAACTCCTTGGGGTCCTTAGAGAATGACCAAATTTTGCCTGCTGGCAGAGGGTGCTGAGTTCGGAAAGGGAATATAATATTATGTTAATGTGTTTATATTTGTTTCTTGTATTAATGTACAGTTTTTAATGTGAGTCAACTGACACTCAGAGGTGTTGGAATAATAATTATATGGATGGATGCTTTCAGAGTTGCCTTCAAGTAAAGCTGTTGTGATTTTGTTACATATGCCACTTTGTCCGACAGGATTAATTTTTTGATACATACAGTTTGAGTTCCAAGTTCAAGTGTTTCTTATGTTTAACACTTGGGTTCACATTATAACAGAATGATTGTCCTTGTAGTGTTGTGAATTCTTTGGTCGTATTCATAACCTGTGTAGTGAGCAGTGCGCATTGCCTGGTCGGCCATAAATCTGTTGTTATTTTGTTGTTGTTTTTTTATTTTGTTTTTGTTTTTGGTATAGGACTTTGTGTTATATTAATCATAAAAACCTCGCATGACTTATGTAAAAGAGGTTGAGGCATTTGTAAATATTATGATAAGATAGACAATTTTGACTTATGTGATAATTGAACTATGTGAAAAGCCTTTTGAGTAAGGGCTCAGGTGGTGTGGTTGAATTCCAGGACCAAGCTGTGTTGTTTGATGCTGAACTTGTTCTAGCCCTGATGGTCGAGTGAGTGACCTGAGGGGTAGGGTAGGTAAAGAATTTTAAAAATCAGCTGTTCGGATTCCTTTGCGTAACGTGCTCAAGTGAAAAATACCACTATACAGGTTGAGACAAAAGTCTTTTGTTATAATGAAATAACATGATATTTGATATTAATTTGTTGTGCTTTAACAGAGTTTTTGTCTTATGAGTATGTTTAAAGTGATCTTTGGAAATTGTTTGGAATTGTAAAATTCCTGCATCACACAGATTTTACCCATTTTTGATGTTGAACAGAAAAACAAGTCGCTATCTTAGAATTACAAAGCTCTATCTGACATTTTTGGCTGTTTTAAATTATCAAAATTCATGGGATCAGAAATCAAATGTTCTGTTTCCTCTATCAAAATCATAAGAGTCAAGATATTCAAAGAATTTCATTCGTAAAAATTAACCATGTTGTGAAGCCCAACACTTTGAAGGTCAGATTTCTCAAAACTAGGTACTGAGGAGATAGAACTTTGTAATTCTGAGATAGCGAAAACAAAGTTCTGCCCCACCTTGTAGAAAAGACATTTCAAGATCCCTTGCATGTGTAGCAATGGCTCGGGGCCTTACCCAGCAGTGTTCTCCTGCTCTTGCTCAATGTTCTGATGTCCCGGACTGAAACAAAGCTTTCCCCCTACTTTGACTTTGACTTTGACGTCTTTTGTTAGATAAACATCTTGTTTCATTACAACAATAAAATTATGTCATCCCTCATCTCTGGCAGTGTCACTGTGACAAATAAAATGGCAAACCTCTACTCTGTCTCATTAACAGGACAAATGAATCACAATGTAGTGGAATTGGCGCTCGTCAATTTTTGGACATTTGGAGTTATTGGCATCATCTTATAGCTTGTTTATTTGTCTATCTTTCGATTTTTTTAAATACCCATCTATCTTGATAAGAAGTAGAGATATTTGTGATTGAAAGAGGTGGGGTAGCCTGGTTTCAGAAATTAAATTAGCAAGAAAATGGCTGCCAAAGTTTGGGGACTTCCAAAGCTTGAGAGTCCTTGGAAACTGCAAATTTACATCTTTCAGTAAAATTCACACAGAAATGTGTTTTTTACATGTAAAATAAGTTGAGCCAAAAAATAAAACTTCGATAAAAAGAGCCTAATGCGAAGAAAAATGCGTTTTTCTGTGAATTCATTTTTTGGACGAGCACCTGATTTCACCACGATGCCTCACAAATGAAACGTAATCCCCCTTACTCTAAAGTCATGGACAGTTAAGATATCATTCCTGTAGTCATTGATAGATACATGTATCTCAAGGAGATTAAAAGTAGTTCTAAGCTCCTTGATGTATCTATATAATGTATAACAGCATTCCCATGCTCTGACGTCACTGACGAATTATTCACCTACTCTTATGTCATTGACAGAAAAACGTCATTCCCTTGCTCTCGCTCATTGTTCTAGTGTCATTGACAAATTAAACGTCACTCGTCAGCTGTGCGTAGTTTTGTCTTTTGATGTTTGTTTTTTGCTGTTGTTTTTGTTTTTGTTTTTGTTTTTTTGTTGTGGGTTTGTTTTTGTTTTTTTTTGTTTTTTTTTTTGGTTGTTTTTTTTTTTTGGGGGGGGGTCTTTTTTTAACTGGGAATCTTTGTTTCCTGGGGGGGGGGGGGTGTTTCCTTTTTGTTTCTTTGTTCGAGAAAAATGCCAGTCCACTTGGACGCAAGTTCACCCTTGTTTGACGGGTATGGTTGTACCCAGATGCGAAGCAGCAATGAGTTCTTATCAAATCTGACAAGCTGCATTACATAAGAAGCAATACATAACCATTAACATTACCGATAGCTTTGGAGCAATAATATTATGCCGTGATGTAACGGCAGGACAATGAAAAAAAGTGTGTGTGGGGGGGCTCTCGTGGTCTAGAGGTATGGTGTTCGCTTCTCATTCAATAGGTCCTGGGTTTGAAATTTAACAGCGACGGAAAATTATCTTGTCTTATTAAATTTTCTCCTTTCACTTTCTTCCCTGCTCTCTATGTTCTGCTTTCGTCTCAACGTTTTGCCTCCTTTGCCCCCTCCTCTGGGCTCCTGACTCTTTCTGCAGCCTTTCTACCACTACTCCTTGGCCCCTTCTTACTACTGTCTTTCAGCCACACCCCTGATCTTAGGGTAGGAAAGATCTAAAACCTAGCCTTCTCAGATAAGGACAAAAGATCTCGGAGGTCCCGTGAGCAAGCTGTGCACGTTAAAAGACCCCTTGGTGGTCCTGAAATCGTTAGGAGTAGGATTCTGCCGCCACCCGGGCAAAATTTTAAAGTAATTCCTACCAAACTGAAAATTAATTTTTTTAAATGTTATGCTTGTGTCACGGGTGCTCATATATGACTTTATGCTGATGCGTGCGCCGTAAAACGCTTACCAAGAAGGGCACTGAACTCCAGTAGGCTACTCAGTTCCCTTCACCTAAAAGTGTCTTGAAACTCCCATTATAGTCACTTTAGGCCAACAGTGTAGCTCAATATTATATTATCAAATATCCATGTGATCCAAACACGATCTCGGGAGACTCGGGAGATCACGGCAGACTTGTTTCGGACTTCACAGTGTCGGTGGCGTACTGGTTGTGCTCTTCGCCCTTTACACAAAGGACTTGTGTACGATTCCCGTAGTACGTATTTATCGAGTACTGTACCGGTGCTCTCATCGGTCTGCTGTGATTATTTTTCTTCATTTTTTTTTTTTAGATGAGAAGGAATATATTTTATTGATTCTTATTTTGGAAGATTGTTTGTATGTGTGTGTGTGGGGGG